TTCAATTGATTTCTGATTATAACAGTTGGTAGAAATCATCTGTTTTCTCCTCTTTGGCCCTTGTTGTTGATGCATAAATTTGACTGATGATAGTATTAATAGATCTTTCTTGTATGCATGTGGATATTATCCTGTCACTGAGAACATTGAATTTCAAGATGGATCTAAAAATGGTCTTTTTTAACTATCAAAGTGGTCATGTTTTTTCTCATTTTTTTCCAGCATAGTAGATCATAGTAGATTGTCTGATTCAAAATGCCCCATGCCAATTAATTTAATTTTGCCAACACCTAGAATGTCAATATTTATGTGGTTCATTTCTTCTTTAACAATCTCCAGTTCATACTTTTCACATTCTATGTTCCAATTACTAAGGTCTGTTTGTGACTGTTCCTCCTTCTTTGTGATTCCCAATAGGAAGGCTCAGTCTCTGGTGCCATATCTGCTAGTCTAATCTAATTGTGCTCTTTTGTATACAGGGTCTTTGAAGGCCTTTTATTTTGGAAGTGGATGGTTAATCCTTTTCCCTATTCTGTCTTAATTTTGGGCTCACCTTTAAAGCAATATTTGACAGACAAACATTTTACTTAAAAATGCTGATGACAGTATGCAGGAAACAGATCTGGTATTGGTCCCCTGGCCTGCCCCTTCCTCTCATGTGTTGTGTTTTTATCCTTACCCTGCCCTGCCAACATCCAGCTCAATTTCCTCTCCTTTACCCTCCTGCATCTCCCATCCCTTGCCCCCAGACAAATTTGGTTTGATGGCTCAGGCCTCCCATATTGATGCTACTGGCCTTCCCATTGTGATGCCTCTGTCCTCCCATTTCCTCTCCACTTCCCTGTGATATTGGTGTTCCTGATGCAGGAGGAGAAGGGCAGTCTCCACACAGTGGGTGCAGTGAATCTCAGAACACTTGTTTGTGCTTATGCGTAAGCTATACTTGGACCAGGAGGCAGCCATCCGAACAGAGCAAGGAAATATTGCATGGTTCAAATTCAAGAAAGCTGTACACTGGGGATGCATCCTATCTCCATACCTTTTCAGTCTATATGTAGAGCAGATCATCTGGGAGGCTGGGCTCTATGAGGAGAAATATGACATCAGGATTGGAGGAAGACTCACCACAACTTGTTGTGCAGATAGCGCAACCTTGCTTGCTGAAACTGAAGAGGACCTGAGGCATTTGCTGCAGAATGTCAAGGACTGGAGCCTTCAATATGGATTGAAGCTCAACATCAATGAAACAAAGATTCTTACCACTGGACCAACTGGCAGCACCATGATAGATGATGAAGTGATTGAGATTGTTAACAATTTCAGCTTGCTTGGCCCCACAATCAACACTCTTGGTACCAGCAGCCAGGCAATCAAAAGATGAATTGCATTGGGAAAAATCTGTTGTCAGGCACTTCTCCAGAGTAGTGAAGCGCAATGATGTCAGTCTAGAGACTAAGGTGTACCTGATCTGGGCCATGGTTTTCACAATTACTTGTAATGTATCAGAGAGCTAGGCAATGACTAAGAATTCTAGAAGAAGAATCTATACCTTTGAGTTGTGTGGTGCTGGAGGAGAGTATTACGTATACCATGGACTGGGAAAAGAATAAACAAGTTTGTCCTGGAGAGGGTAAAACCAGGCTGCTCCTTGGAAGTAAGGATTTTGAAGCTCTGTCTAACATACTTTCGATATGTTGCAAGGAAGGACCAGTCCTTGGAGAGGGACATCATGCTTGAAAGGGTGGATGGACAGCGCAAGACAGGAAGACCCTGGATGAGATGGATTGATTTTGTGACTGGGGAAATGGGGATCGGTATGTCAGAGATGATGAAATTGGCTCAAGATTGAGCAGGGTTCAGAGCTATTATAATAAGATCCCTATGAGTCAGAGTCGACTCGATGGCACATAATGACATCAATCAACTTTTGAAGTATGAAATTGACTAAACATGCAAATCAAGATGTATTAATAATTACTGGTGAATGGAATGCAAAAATTAGAAACAATAAATGGGAGTTGGAAATGATGGATTTGGTGACAGAAATGAAACCAGAGATAGAATGCTTGAATTTTGTACACTCAATGATTCATCCATAGCAAACATCTTTTTTTTTAAAAAAAAAAAAGTATAAACAGTGACTTTACACATGGCCCTCACCTAATGGATTGCATAGAAATCAAATTGACTATATTTGTGGAAAGAATCATCGGAGAAGCACAGTATCTGCAGTCAAAACAAGACCAGATGTCAATTGTGGAATAGCCCATCAATTACTCACATGCAAGTTTAAATTGAAGCTGAAAACTAGTCCACAAGAACCAAAATATGACCTTGAGTCTATCCCAGTTGAATTTAAGATTCTTCTGAAGATCTGGTTTGAGGCCTGTTCCAAGATCAGTGACTGGAAGAACTATGGGAAGACATCAAAGATAACATCCATGAAGAGAACAAAACGGCTTTACAAAGGAGAAAGAAAAAAATCAGAATGGCTGTCAGAAGAGACTATGAAAATTGCATTAGAGAAATTAGAGCAAGTCAAAACACAAATAAAGATACCAAAGTAAAAGAACTGAACAGATGATTTCAAAGGGCAGCTCAAAAAGATAAAACAAAATATTATAATGAAATGTGCAAAGAACTGGGGTCAGAGAATAGAAAGGGAAGAACCCCCTCAGCATTTCTCAAGCTGAAAGAACTGAAGAACAAATTCAAGACCCTGAATGAGCTGGATTGACACAATAACTGGGAATGAGTGCAGGTGTGTCAGAGACAGTGAGACTGGCTCAGGGTAGGGCAGAGTGCAGAGCTAGTGTTCATAGGGTCGCTATGAATCACAGTGGAATCAAGGTACCTCACAACAACAGCAGCAACATAAGGCAAGAAGTGCAGCATCTGTCCAAGGATCAAACCCTGAAGGCAGGAAGGGGTAGGACAGAAGGATTAATGGGAATGGGAATTATAGGGTAGAAATGGGAAAAGGCTAATTACATTGTGGGTATTGCAATTAATGTTATGAAACAAAATATGTATGAATGGCTGAATGGATATTAATTTGCTTTGTAAACTTTCACTCAAATCACAATCAAAAAGCCCAGCAAAACAAAACCCAGCTCTATCTGAGGACTTATGCTGAGCTGGCTTTGGGATACAAGCATGTACTTCTGGAGGTGACAGAAAACCTCAGTGAAAATTAGCCAAGCCTCCTCTGGCACACTTCCAGTTGTTTGTGCATCATGCTTTGTTTTTCCAGAGTTTTGGCCCTAGGGGACCAGAGCCCTGTGTTGAGAGAGTTTCACAGTTTATTGACCTTCATCCACAGAAGGCAGGCATACCCAGCAGGGATAACGATCTAGTTTACTTTCAACTTGCTTGCTGTTGTTGCCTTTGCTATCTCTCTTTGAAACGACAAGAAATTATTTCAACTGTGCCATCTATGCCCATGGCTAGGCCCTGACAGGGAGGCTAAGAGATGGTGTCCTGGGGAGGAGCTTCAACTGCTGATGATTCTGGGGCTGAAAGGAAAACACTTTGAGATAGGGAGCAATACTCTGGATCTCTCTGTTCATGGCCCACACACCTTCTCCAAGCATCAGATGACCTTCCCTCTCCCTCCCTCTCTAGCAGTGGAAGATATTTTCCATCACTCCCTGGTTGACGCAAATGTGTCAAGGACCCCCAGATGAGTTATAATAAGTTAACCACAGTCTTGTCTGAAGGCAGCTATTAGTTAATTTTTTTTTAAATAATTCCCTGGCATTCCTAATTCCTTAGCATTCTGTCCTAAAAGCACTTTCTGTTCCAAAACTAGATGGTTTCATGATATAACTAAACTCGTGCTGAGCCCAGAAGTGAAGCTCAGGTGTTTCCGTTCCCGAGTCACTTTGATTATGAGTGTTTCCTCAGGGAACATGGAGAGAAGCATTTTCCACAGGGAGAGGAGAGCTCCCAGCTCCTGAGACTGTGCTATGTACTGACCCCTAAGACGGGCCAGACAGCCTCACCCAGGGAGGGCGCTCCACTGAAGGAAGCTCTGCTCTCGTGGCTGCCGAATTGGAATCAACACTTAGCTGATGATGAGGCTAAAAATTGCACAGAAGGCAATCATCTGCATTTCTCCTGAGGAGCCACTGGTGGAAGGAAATGCCAAGTGCCTGAAAAGATTCTCACTGTTGAAAAGGGAATTTCTAGATCATCACAAACCAGGCTTTGCCCAATACAGACACTCCGAACAATGTCCCTTCTCTCTGGTCACATAGTGGTTATTTCAACTACCTCTGTTGGGCCCATTCCATGGCTGGGTAGCTGTGTCCTAAGAGTGATCCAAACATTGGCTCCCTGGAGCTTTTTTCCTGTATCAAGGTCTCTGAATACCCACATCATCATGTCTCTCTTCCCTGCCTTGGAGTGGACTTAGGGGAAGGGATTGTATAACAGTGAAATAATTTTTCTTTTACTTTTCAAAGAGAAGAGCGAACTGGGGGAGAGGGTAGGTTGGGCAGGGAAAAAAATTGCAACAATGAATGAATGGAAATCCAAAGTCTGTAAACTTTCATTAAAATGAATTCATTTTAAAAAAAGAATAAAAGGTAGCAGGGAGATGGCCTTTCTTGGGAGAAAACCTGGGACTCTTGGCTAAGCCCTCTTTAGATAAAGCTGGATATTTCCCTGTTTCCTGCTGAACATAAACATGGAGGCAGCACTAGAAAAATAAAGCTGGGAGATCTCTGGAGGGGATAGCTCTTTAGGTCTCTAATTAGGGAGCACAGATAAGCGTTAAATTAGACCATTCCAGCTTGCAAGGGCAGCATATTCTGACTCCTATTGAAAGGCTTTGTGCTACTAAGTCTGTTCCACAAATTGCTCATGGCCCCTGGCCCTTCAGCAGGAGAGCAGGAGATAGCGAGAGACAGCCCTTTTCCGGTGTTCTGGGCTGGACTGGGATAAAAGGAGGCAGCCCAGGTGCCCTGTCAGTGTTTTTCACTTCATTGTTAGCTGGCTTTCTCTAGCTTCCTCAGCTTCACCTGTCCCACCATGAGTCGACAACTGAACATCAAGTCTGGTAGTGAGAGGTGTGACTTCAGTGGGTACTCAGCAGTGGTGCCAAGGAAGGCCGTGGGCAGTGTGGCTTCTTCCTGGGCAGCTGGCAAAGGGGCTGGAGCTGGCTTTGGCAGTCGGAGCCTCTACAGTCTGGGGGGGACTCGGTGTATTTCCTTTAGTGTGGCTGGTGGTGGTGTTCGGGCTGGAGGCTATGGTTGTGGGCGTGGAGGGGGCCGGGCCAGTGGCTTTGCTGGCAGCATCTTTGGGAGCACGGGCCTGGGACCTAAGTCCCCATCAGTGTGTCTCCCTGGGGGCATACACCAAGTCACTGTCAACAAGAGCCTCTTAGCCCCCCTCCATGTGGAACTGGACCCTGAAATCCAGAAAGTACGAGCTCAGGAGCGAGAGCAGATCAAGTTGTTGAACAACAAGTTCGCCTCCTTCATCGACAAGGTGGGTCTCCTACGAGGAGGTAAAGGAGGTCTAGGAAGATAATGAGCAACTTCTTTACTTTCTGGAATGGACTGGCATTGTGCGTGACATGGTCTAGCTAGACCTCAGGGAGGTCCTCCTGATCATAAGAGGCAAGCAGTCTTATAAACTAGGCATTAAAAGGGATAAGTGAAGGTAATGCTGTATTTGGGGGACTGGCAGAGAAGGTAGAATAATGCTTGGACAAAGGGAAGGGAAGTCTTGAGAAAGACGTAGTGTGGTTATGGAGGAATAAACTGCATGTCTTTCAGGTCTTTAAAAGAATGAAAGTCTAGTGAGATCAGCACTATTTCGAGGAAAGGGCTCATGGTACAGGAAGAAAAGTTTAGGCAAGACATAAAGACTATCTCCTGAGACTGGGCAACAACAGAAGAGGGCGGTGGAATCTCCTTTGGTGAGTTATCAGTGATTAGTCATCTAAAAGGCTATGGAATGAACTCTCATAGGAGATTTCATTTGCATGACATATTGTAGCAAAGAGTGGTAAAGACTTGAGCAAAATGGCTATATGAAAATCAGTGTGACCTTGGCAATCCATGGCCTTTCTTCAGGAGACTTGATACTATTTATTCAGGCCGTAAATTTTGTTTTGGGTTCTAGGTGCGGTTCCTGGAGCAGCAGAATCAGGTTCTAGAGACCAAGTGGGAGCTGCTGCAGCAGCTGGACCTGAGCAACTGCAAGAAGAACCTAGAGCCCATCTTTGAGGGCTACATCAGCAATCTGCAGAAGCAGCTGGAGACACTGTCCAGTGACAGGGTGAGGCTGGACTCGGAGCTGAGGAACATGCGGGACGTGGTGGAAGACTACAAGACGAGGTGAGCAGGTTCCGCTGCAGGGTGCTGGGTCGTGTTCTCAGAGGCTCCTGGGGTCACCTCAACCCTGTACCATTTTTTAGAAGAGCAGAGACCAAATGCTGGAGTCAGGGGCTCCTGCTCTCTTTTACAGTTTCTGGGAAAGGGTCAGCTTGTTTGATGAGAACTTCTTAACTTAGTGACAGGAAGGAATTTTATGTTATTATTGATCCAATGACTGGTTCAGCTGGCCATCTGGGACACCTGGCTTTTTCCCAGTGAGTAGACTGGGGATGTCTAGTGATAGCTCCCTTCACCAGCTGCCTCTGCAGGGCTCATCCCTGGAGCATTTCCTGGAGATTCTGCACTCCCCTGGCTGATGGAAAGAGGAAGTAACTCGATCTGGCTGTGTCTCTCTACTTCTCTCTCTGCAGATATGAGTCAGAGATTAATAACCACACAGCAGCTGAGAATGAGTTTGTGGCACTAAAAAAGGTAAGAGAAAGATTTATGAACTCTAGTCTATCTTAGGGAGCTCTGGTGATCTAGTGGCAGGGAGCTGTGCTGCAATGCCAAAGTCACCCAATTGGAGGCCATCAGCTACTTACTGCTGGAGAAGGATCAACAATCATCTCCTCCTGTGTGATTAACAGCCTCTGAAAACCTGCGGGGTTGGGGTAGGGGTCAGCTGTGGGTCGGTTCTGACTCTATGGTACATAGCAACAACAACCAGTCTCTCTTACATTCTTTTCAAACAATTCTACTCAAGACTTTAGTCCAGGCCACATTGTCAGGGAGTAGGTGGATGGAAATTAGTGCCCAAAAGAGTGTACAATCATAGTGCTGTCCTCCAGCAAGCTGGAGAAGGCCAAACACCCAGGAAATGGACAGAAACAAAGAGATGGGATGTCTGGGAGTCAGAAAACTGGGCCTGCTTGGCCCTTGGCCTTCTTGAATGACTTAATTCAACTCACTCTATCTCTTTGGGCTTTATTTTTTTTTTTTCCAAGTGTTTTTGCAAAGATTCAATGAGTCTGAAGGGGAAGAAATATGGAGAGGCTTGACATGCTTATCTTTGTGGGCAAAAAATTTTTAAATACACGCAGATAGGGGAGCTCTGGTGGCCTAGTGGCAAGGAACTGCAACTACAATCCCAGAGGTGCACAGTTCGAATCCACCAGATGCTCTGCCGGGGAAGGAGGGACAATCTCCTCCTGTACCAGTCAGATCTGATTTGACGGTACACGCACACAAAAATAAAATTAAAAAAAAATACACTCAGATAGTTATAGAGGCAAGAGCTCTACAGCTGATGGGATGAGGGTTGTAGTGGTTAGTGGTTGTGTGTGTGGCCTTTCGGCAGGACGCAGACGCAGCCTACGCAGTCAAGGTGGAGCTTCAGGCCAAAGTGGATTCTCTGGACAAAGACATCAAGTTCCTCAAGTGTCTGTATGATGCGGTGAGAACACTCCTACCCACCTCCTTATGTCCTTGAGGCCTCCAGTAAGGGAAGATGTTACTGGGAGCAGATATAGGATAAATGAAATAAAAAATATTTTATAGGGAAGATGCAAATCTCTACATTGGGAGGCCAGGGAAGTGAAAGCTTGGTCTGCAGAGGCCAATACATAGGAGACGATCCCATCTGTAGTGACCTTGTATATGCAAGAAAACAAATAAGCCTGCCTCCATGGGGTCGTGTTAAGCCACAGACTGCTGGATTCTGTATAATTATATCAGGTTTATGTGTCTGCTGCTTTCTGTGGCCTGTTTTCAGTGCCTCCTGCTGCTGTGACCATGCTCTCTGGGCTTGAGCAGACCAGCAGGCCTTCTTTACTTTTCTTCAGCACTGGGGATCTAAGTGCCTCCTTCTGACAGAGACCACAGGCCCAGAAAACTGGTAGGGCAGAGGAGTGGAAGCCAGTGTCATCCTAAATGTGTCTTCATGTCTCAATTCAGGAGATCTCTCAGATCCAGACGCACGCCAGTGACACTTCCGTCATCCTGTCCATGGACAACAATCGTGACCTGGACCTGGACAGCATCATCTCCGAGGTCCGCACCCACTATGAGGAGATTGCCCTGAAGAGCAAGGCCGAGGCTGAATCTCTGTATCACACCAAGGTGAGCGGAGCCTTGGTGTGTTTCTCCCCCACTGCCCACTCCCCGACGGGTGAATTTGTAGGTCATGTCAACAAGCTGTGCTGCAATCCCAAAGGCACAAGGCCACCTATGAGAGAAGGATGAGCAATCTCCTCCCATGAGATTAACTGCCTCTGAAAACCTGCCAGAGGGTCATCTATGGGTTCGTTCCAACTCTACGGTAAACAACAACAACGACAACCATATTCTACTCCAAAAAGAATTCTTGGCAGAAACTGTTATGAAAGATAAATCATAGAACTTGTTGTAGATGGGTATATCTAACAGAGAAGGTCAGATAATGCCCTGATGGAAGAAGTACGTAAGGAATTATCATGTTAAAGAAAATACATTTTTAGGAACCCAGCCATATAATTTATTAGGTAGAAGAAGTGTGACAAATATGGAAGAGAGTAGCTATACAGAGTACCTTGTTTGAGGAAACTGGAGTGGGACGACATGTGAGAGAAAAGAAAGACACAAGCCCTTTTTGATTAAGCACAGAAAAACTCTGGAAAGGAAGAAGCAGAATTATAGGACTGTTCTGAGTGATGGGAGTGATGCTTTGGGGTGAAAATCTTCGGAGTTTACATCATGGATCTGGGCACTGACCAGGGCTTAGCCTTGTTCTATGGAATTTTTTCACATGTTTTAATGCCAACAAAAGCTAGGATCATAGGTGTGGTCCTGACTCTAGTCATATCCTTGTTCCCAGTCCATGCTGTGTGTCGTCATTCTTTATCCCTTGGAAGATTTAAAACTGAGCAAGAGGGAGAGATTCAAACCAAAGGCTTTGATCTAACAATATCAACCATCCTGCCTATAACCCATCACCCCACATGTGGATGTGACCCTTGGTTCCTCTGCCTCTGTTACTGAGAAAAGGTTCTGGTAACTTCCATAAGAATAGAGACTTAGCCTATTCTGTTCTTTGTTGGGTTCCCAGACCCTAAAACAGCACCTGAACTTTAAAATGTAACTCTCTAAATATACCTTAAGTGAATGATGGAATAAATAAATAAAGCGAGGACCAGGACACTTCTGCATGTTGTTGTTGTTGTTCTGCATGTAGAGAGGGCTTTAATGAATGTTGAAGGATCCCAGAAGGCATAGTGTGTGACTCATCAGGCTGCCACCTGAAATTTGAACTGGTCAGCAGTTCAAATCCACCAACTGCCCTGAGGGAGAAAGAAGGGCAATCACCTCTCATTAGATTTACAGCCATGAAACCTGCATTGTTATCTATTCATTGTTACCAATCTACATTGTTAACTATGCATTGTTATCAATCTGATGTCAATGGGTTTGTATTTTTTGTTCTTTTTGTTAAAAAGAACATGTTAATAGAGTGAACAGCATCTTTCCTTCAAGCAGCCCAGGAAAGACTGCAGGCAACATGATCAAAGGAAGACAGGCTCAGCCAACAGGTTCTGACGAGGAATGGTGACTTTTTGGTTAAGTTGTTGTTGTGTACTGTGGAGTTTAAACAAGTTGAAGTGCAATTCCTTACCACTAGGTCATCAAGCTCTGGTGACCTAGTGGTTAGGGAGCTCTGATGGCCTAGTGGTAAAAAACTGGGTTGCAGTCCCCAAAGCACACAGTTCAAATCCACCAGTTGCTCTATGGGAAAAGGATGGCCATTCTCCTTCCATGTGCTTTACTGCCTTTGAAAACCTACTGATGGTTAAGGTATGAGTTGACACGTGGTTCGAATCTTTCTCTTTGGGAGAAAGATGGGTAATCTCCTCCTGTGTGATTTATGGCCCCTGAAAACCTACTGGAGGGTGAGCTATGAGTTGATTCTGACTCAATGACACACACCACCATCACCAGGCCATGAAGGCTCCCAATCCAAAGGCTCACGGTTCAAATCCACAACCCTCTCCTTGGGAGAAAGATGGGCACTTTCCTCCTATGTGATTTTACTGCCTCTGAAAACCTGCTGCAGGGTAATCTATGAGTTGGTTCCAATTCCACAGTATCGCACAACATCTAGGTTAAGTCCACTATCAAATAGCTGGAAGGACACCCAGGTGCTGACACCATCCTCTTGCTCTGGAGCCACGACCCTGGTTATTTGGTCATTATGGGGTATTTGCACAGGACTGCAGGGGTAGCTGGATGCTACCCTTCTCTTCCTTGGCGGGGATAGTCTCCTCATCACCACTTTCATACCTCTGAAACTAGATCCAGGAACTGCAGCTGGTGGCCAGTCAGCATGGCAAGGACCTTAAGCACACCAAGAACGAGATATCAGAGCTGAACAGGTTCATCCAGAGAATCCGGTGTGAGATTGGGAATCTGAAGAAGCAGGTGGGTGGCAACCCCACCCAGAGTTTAAGTTCATCCTTCTGGTGGAGAAACTGGGAATAACCCTGTAGAAAAAGATCTCCCCCCAGGCTCCGGAGCCCCTCTGCCAGCCAGCGCCTCCCTTCCCACCTGCCACAGTACACTTGACATGAGAAGCTTCACCTGTTCAGAGCTGGCAGGGGCTTGGAACTTAGCTCTCTAACTCCCAGTTGAAAGGTAAAGAAGCCAGGACTGGAGAAGTGGACTAGCTTGTCCAGACCTCTCAGATGTTTGAGAACAGAACCAGATCTGAAGCAAGGTTTTGTCTTTCTTCTTCCCTTTCTCTGACTTTCTCTGTGTCCAACATCCTTGTTCCATGTCTGCATAGATTGTGTCCTTCTAAGGACAGGCTCTTTGACACCTCGTCTCCCTGGAGAGGGCCCACATAGGATGGACACCAGCAGCTGTATTAAGTTCCTGTCTCAGAATTGGGGACAGTCCAGGGCACTAAGCAGAGTGGGGACAGCAATAGATGTTGCGCCTATACCCCTGATTTCACAGAACATTTCCACACCAAACCTTCTTCTTACACTCCAAAAATGCTTCCAAAGATTTTCGAGGAAACTTCTACAAATATCAATCTGAAACAGAAAACATGGCAGACTGGGCTCAAGTACTGGTTCTACTGCTTTTTGCTATCTCCTTAGGCCTCTGTTTCTTCATCTGCAAGATGACAGACTACCCTACCCTTCCTATGCTTTTGCTAGGTGCGGTCGAGTCATAGGCGACTCATAGCAATCCTATGAACAAAAGACCTGAACACTTGGATATCTTTCATCGTTTCTCCAAGTTCATAAAGTTTCTGGGGCATGCTACTTCAGAAGTGGATGTCACTCCTGCTTCTAAGCTTGTTTTAGTCTGGGAGCTCCACCAAACACTGTCCACTATGGGTAACCATTACCGCATTTGACACATCAGTGTCACAGTGTTCAGCTTCACAGTGACCACAAGTTAGGTAGTGATTTTCAAAATCATTGCTCTTGCAGAGCATTAGAACATTTTTTTAAAGTTAGTACTTACAACTGAATCCAAAAAAATATTTTCTAGTTTCAAGTCTCTACCCCACCTATTTGGAAGCAGGAGCGGTATCCACTTCCGTAATTGCTTGCCTCCGGAAACCATATGAACCTGGAGAGAAGGTGATAGACACACAAGTGTGGAGGACTCTCCTTCATGGGGTCGCTATGAGTTGCCTGCGACTCGACGGCACTTAACAACAACAACTCCACCTATAAGATCTAAAATCATTTGTACTTTGTTGGCTTCCCCATTTTTTGCCCTTCAGTGTGCTAACCTGGAGACGGCCATTGCTGATGCAGAACAGCGGGGTGACAGTGCCCTGAAGGACGCCCGGGCCAAGCTGGATGAGCTGGAGTCCGCTCTGCACCAGGGCAAGGAGGAGCTGGCCCGGATGCTCCGTGACTACCAGGAGCTCACAAGCCTGAAGCTGGCCCTGGACATGGAGATCGCCACTTACCGCAAGCTGCTGGAGAGCGAGGAGTGCAGGTGAGAGGTGTGAGGGGAGCCCCCAAGCTTCTAGAGCTGGTCCCTACCTGGCTGTGGGACCTAATATGACCTACAGCAGCAGAAGGGACAACAAAGAGGCAGGGTAGTGATAGTCTGGCTGATGAAGTCTACAGCTGTTCATGCAGATGGAAGCCAGACTTGGACCCTGTTGGCTGTGTGGTGTGGAGGAAAGAACCACTGGAGTCAGGCTGATGTGGGTTTAATCCATGGCCCGCTGTGCACTGGTCGTGTTACTCTGATAATTTCATGTCTGAATCTCAATGTTCTCATCTTTAAAATGGGAGTTTCACCCTCACTGCTGGATGACTCAAAGCGGTTATACACATAAAATCAGATATCCAATGAGGCTTAGTGCACTCTAGACACTTCCCTCAAGTTGTATCTTCTCTATCCTTGTCTTACAGGATGTCTGGTGAAAACCCATCCTCCGTGAGCATCTGTGAGTATCCTGGAGAGACATGCTGGCTGGGGTTTCTGACTGGGTGGGAAATCCGGAGACCCCGAGACAAAGTGTCCAGCTCCCCTCACTGTCTCATTCCATCCAGAAATTTATGAGGGTTCCTCTGGTTAGAAGAAAACACATTTCCTTTTAGTTCTTCATAAACACTCCCTATTTCCTTCCTGCTTCTCTCTGGGGTATTACCACTTAGAGAATGGGTTGAGAATATGGACTTCATAGTACTAGAGACACTCTAAGGGCTGTATCTGTCCTGTGTGGTCCTCACCTCTCACAAGGTGTGACACAAAAAGGGGTCTGAATTCCTATGTGTTTGCTCATCAACTATTGAAGGCTGCTGGAGAATGGAACGGGTTGATGTATGCAATAGGGCAAGCTCCTGGGGATGGCAGCAAAGGGTAGCTCTGCCCCCTACTGACTGACACCCCCCTTCTCCCCTCAGCCATCATCAGTAGCAGTGGTGGAAGCAGCTACACTTACCGCCCCAGTTCCATGAGCGCTGACCTGGGGGCCAACAGTGCAGCTGGTGACTCTGGCAATGCCCACAGCAGGGACACCAAAACCAAAGGGGCCCGGCTGGAAGACCTCAAGGACTCCCAAGGCAAGAGTACCCCAGTCAGTGCCCCAGTCCGGAAAACCACGAGATAGGCCCCCCAGATCCTCAGCCCCTGGAAGATGACCTCACCACTACACATGATGTCTGCCACAGCCAAAGCCCATGATCCTGAGTGCAGGACTGTCTCTCACACTGTCCACTGTCCACGTCATGAAAAGTCTTACTGCCTGGTTTTGACTGACGTGCTCACCACCGTGTTGCATTAGGTCTTGCAACTTCTTGTTTTCCTCCTTTCCTTTAGCTGGCAGGAGGCTTTTGAGGCCCAAACCATAATTACCTTCTTGGCCCTAAGGAAGCTATGATCACTCTCAGAGAGAGAGAGGAGATGGGAGAGAAAGGCGTGGAGGGGAATAATTTTGTTCTGCACTTGCTGTGGTTCTCAGTGGCCTGGAAGGCTTCACTTCCCTTTCTAGCATTGACAGTGAACGCAGAGCACAGAGACACACAGCCATGGGCTAAGAAATTACTCAGATTTATCCTCCTGCCAGACAGGTCCTTACAGAGTGATTCTGTTAAAGGTTTTGGAGAAGATGTGTTGCATTCTCAGTCCACCACCTGCATCCACATTCACAAAGCCAACTGAGTGTCAATCGGCAGTTTTCAGCCACCTCATGTCACCTACTCAACCTCCTAGAATATCAGTCACGGCTAGTACCGTTTATCAGTCCCTACGTCCCTACTATATGTCAGGCACCCTACATACATTGCTTCCTGTGTGCATTCAATCTCCAGAGAATACACCATCAGCAACCTCAGACAGACCAGAATCCTGGTCCTCTAAGAGATGTTCTAGTTGCCTCCGTTCTCCCACCCTCCCACCCTTCCAGTGCTGCAGTCATGAGGCAAAGCAGACCCAGCTGACTCCAAGCTCTATGCTCTCCCCAGGTTACATTGCTGCCTCTCTTACAAAGGATATCAAAGTAACAGGTATTTTTGAGATGTCAGCATTACTACACACTTGTTAGTCATTTCAAGTTCTGTGGGTCTGTGAATTATTCTCTCTCTGGGGCTGTGCAGCTTCTGCCTCTCAATCACCATTGTCATGAGCTAGGCTCAGGGAGAGGAGCTGCATCTTTTGTCTTTGGGTGATGCCATCCAGCTCAGAAGTTGTAATCTTGATGTAAATATTCCTTAGAATGAGAGCATCTCGTCCTTCCTTTGCTTGATTTAAGGACCCCACATTTCTGCTGTATAGTCAATAAAATGCCCTTAAGGAAAGCCAGAGAAATGCTCCTCTCCAGTCACCCATCCTGTAATGACATGCCCCGCACTGAGATACTGAGGGCCCATCTGGAGGAGGGAGGCCCTGGGGACAACTGCAGAGGTGATTTCAGGCCAATGGAGAGAAGGCACACACTCAATGGCATGCCTTTCAGAGATGTGATGGGAAGTCTACTGTTACACTGCTGAGAAGTGACTGGAATGAGTAGGCTAAACAAGGAGGACTTTCTGGAGGAGGAGGAAAGTTTTATCAAGTTCCCAGAAATATGCACCCACAGATTCCTAGAGAAAAAATGTCAATCACGCATGAGAGTAGATCTGGGCTCAGGGTAGGTACACTTATTTTGGTGATGGGGTAGCAGGTCTCAGGTTTTCTAAAAGGGAGCAATGGGACTGGACAGGAGCCATAGGGGTACAATATTCAAGCACTGGGACGGGCTGCTAGTTGAAAGGGTGGTCATTGGAACCCACTCAGTGGCTTCCAGGAAGAAAGGCCTGGCAATCTGCTTCCATAAAGATTGCAACCCTGAAGACCCCGTGAGGCAGTTCTGCTTGGTTAGAGTCTTTAGGAGCTGGAACTGACTTCACGGCACTCAATAACTGCAACAAACCAGTTTTTCAAGTAGTACTGTGTTTCAGGTGTGGGAGTGTGTGTCCACACATAGACTATAGTTCCTCGAGCCTCACAGTAACTGGTAAAGTCGTCCGAGGGCAAACTTTGGAGAGAGGGTCTTCAGGTCCCAAGAAATCTCTAAATGCCTCACCTTGAAGCACAAGTATCGAGGAGATCTTCTCCATGTGAGCCAGGATCCAATCAACCTAGGAATCTGGAACCACAATCTGTTGCGTTTTCTACCTGAAAGCTTCCTTCTGAGGTCCCTCTGTCATCATTCTGGATGCTGGGTACCTTGGAGTCATGGTAGATCTATTCCTGCCTGTCACTAACCAGTCCCTATAGCACTCAGACCGAAATCAGTGGTTCTTATCCTTGTGGTCACACACTCCTTAAGATCTACTGAGGAAAATGATGCATATTTAGAGTCTCAGCACTCCTGGAAGCCAGTTCATGGGCTTTTTGGGCTGTGGGCTCAGAGTAAGAATCTTTGGACCAGATGAGCTCTGAGGCACTTTTCAGTGCTGATTCCTTTCTATAAAGATCAAGCAAATTCCCATCATATAGAAAGGAGTGTGACATGAAGAGATGTGGAAAACACAAGATATTCATGAAATCAGCCTTCCAAGGCCACTAGTAGGTGTGCCCTTGACTTCTAGAGGCACCAGTTTTGGTGCTGCTGGGTTTATGAGGCCTGAGTGCTGGATGCTGGGGGAGGGGTCCTAGAGCTTGCGGAGATGTGCTCCTGAGGAGGCAGATAAGGCAGCCTCTGCTGGATCATTGTGGAGGGTGGAAAGGGCAGCCAAGGGCGCACCCTGAAGCCATCCCTGGACATTTCATTCCTGGGACATGTCTTCTGGGACCTCATTATACTGAGAAGTACACTGAGGTGACTGTGCTCTTGCTTCAGGGTTTAGTTTGGAGATTCTTCTTTTTGTTTATTGTTGATAATATTATTATAGTTCACATGCACCTTTTCCATTGTGATTTGAGTGAACATTTACAAAGCAAATTGGCTTTTCATACACATTTTGCTTCATAACATTATTTGCAATACCCACTATATAAACCACACATTTCTTACTGCCCCTCTATAATTCTTATTTCTGTTAATGTTTTTTCACCTTGCCTATTTGTTTATGTATTTGCTAGTGATAATATTGCTTCTCATCCCTTTCTTTAGTGGTATCATGCTAATCATCCTTTTTCTTTAAAATTGTATATTGGTTTATTTAAAAGTTCATATTTCACATTATTCTTCATTGATATTGTGTTTCATACAATCATCCCCATGCATTGTTGTTGTTGTTGTTGTTGTTATGTGCCACCGGATTCCTTGCAACACATAGCGACCCTATGTACAATAGTTTTGAAGACTACCCTGTCCTGAGCCAGTTTCACTGACTCTGACATGCCAACCCCCATCACCCCAAATACTGTATCAATTCATCTCATCTGAGGTCTTCCTCTCCTGTACTGTCCGTCCACCCTTCCTAGCATAATGTTCTTATCCAAGGATCAATCCCTCCTGGCCACATGCTGAAAATATGTAAGATGGAGCTTCAAAATCTTAGCTTCCAAGGAAAAGCTTGGTTTCACGTTCTCCAAGACACACTGACTTGCCTTTTTGGCAGTCCACAGTATGTTCAAGACTCTTCTCCAACATGACAACTCAAAGGCATCAATTCTTCTTCTGTCATCTCATCCTTAGTCATTACCCATAGAAAGTAATTGCGAAGATCATGGACTGGATCAGGTGTATGTTAGTCTCTAGACTGATGTCGATGTTTCTCAGTACTCTAGAAAGGTCCCTGATAGCAGATTTACCTAATACAATTCATCTTTGATTTCCTGATTGCTGGTGCCAAAAGTGTTGATTGTGGAGCCAAGCAAGCTGTAACTGTTAACAACCTCAATCTCTTCTCCATATATTATGGTGCTACCAATCGGTCCAGTGGTGAGAATCTCTGTCTTCTTGATGTTGAGCTTCAGTCCATATTGAAGACTATGGTCCTTGACCTTCTGTAACAAGTGTCAGGTCCTCCTCAGTTTTCATCAAGCAAGGTTGTATCATCTGCATAATTCGCATTAATTTTTATAAAAACAATCACCATTGGACCTTGCCCATCATTATTCTGTATTTTCAGGTCCCCACCAGATCTTTCCCATTTCCTTCAGTTCCTCCCTCCACCCACAAAATTGTGCAACACTGTGATTTTGCTCCTACCTATCCTCACCCTTCCGCTTCTACTTCTTCCCCTCTGGGGTCCCTATACATGTTTTACTAGTTATCTTTCTATTTTTACCATAATTTGTCCTTATAAGACTGAAAAAAAAATTGAACATAGAAATTCCATATGACCCAGCTATTACACTATTAGGAATATATGCCAAGGAAATCAGAAATGAGACACAAATGGAGAGCTGTATGTCAATGTTCATAGCAGTATTATTCACCATTGCAAGTACATGGAAACAGGCCAAATGTCCAATCACAACTGAATGGATTGGAAATAGTGGTACATTCATTCATGCAATGGAATACTATGCTGCACTCAGGAGCAATGATTTTGAAAAATACCCCATAACTTGGGAGAGACTGGAGAGCATTATGCCGAGTCATCATTTTCTTATGTATTACCTTTCCTTTCACTCACCCTTATGTATATGAATATTAGCTATTTAGGGAGCTCTGATGGCCTAGTGGGTAAGGAGCTGTGTTGCTAACCCAAAGGAAGGTAATTTTAATGTACCAGTAGCTCCAAGAGGAAAAGATGGGCAATATATTTCTGTGAGATTTATAGCCTTGAAAATCCACCTGAGAGTCGGCTATGAGTTGGTTCCGACTTGATGGCATGTAACAACAACAACCACAATATTGCCCATTTCCTAATTTTTACTCCTCTCTTCCTCTTTTCTTATTCATGGTAACATTCCAAGAATGGTTCATTCTGCATATAAACCTTTCTTTAGCTTTTCATCATAGTGGCCCTACATAATATTTACCCTTTAGTGACTGGCTTATTTCTCTTAATGTCTAGTATCTGTTTGAATCCTTGATTGCGATATTTTGAGTACACATTTAGGACAGGAATTCCAGGGCCATAAGGTAATTCTATACTTAACTTCTTGAGGAGCTGCCAAACTGTTTTCATGACTGTTATGAATTGAATTATGCCTCCCCAAATTATATGTTGT